AACAGTGTCTATTCTGGACAACTCAGTTACCTGAACAGTGTCTATTCTGGACAACTCAGTTACCTGAACAGTGTCTATTCTGGAAAACTCAGTTACCTGAACAGTGTCTATTCTGGAAAACTCAGTTACATAAACAGTGTCTATTCTGGACAACTCAGTTACCTGAACAGTGTCTATTCTGGACAACTCAGTTACATGAACAGTGTCTATTCTGAACAACTCAGTTACATGAACAGTGTCTATTCTGGACGGCTCAGTTACATGAACAGTGTCTATTCTGGACAACTCAGTTACCTGAACAGTGTCTATTCTGGACAACTCAGTTACCTGAACAGTGTCTATTCTGGAAAACTCAGTTACCTGAACAGTGTCTATTCTGGAAAACTCAGTTACCTGAACAGTGTCTATTCTGGAAAACTCAGTTACATAAACAGTGTATTCTGGACAACTCAGTTACATGAACAGTGTCTATTCTGAACAACTCAGTTACATGAACAGTGTCTATTCTGAACAAATCAGTTACATGAACAGTGTCTATTCTGGACCACCCCTAAAGGCACTGTTTCCCTGGAACCAGTAAAGACACTGTTTCACTAGCACCCCTAAAAACACTGTTTCACTAGCACCCCTAAAGACATTGATTCACCAGCACCCCTAAAGACACTGATTCACTAGCACCCCTAAAGACACTGATTCACCAGCACCCCTAAAGACACTGATTCACCAGCACCCCTACAGAAACGGATTCACCAGCACCCCTAAAGACACTGATTCACCACCACCCCTAAAGACACTGATTCACCAGCACCCCTAAAGAAACGGATTCACCAGCACCCCTAAAGACACTGATTCACCACCACCCCTAAAGACACTGATTCACCAGCACCCCTAAAGACACTGATTCACCAACACCTCAAAAGACACTCATTCACCAGCACCCCTAACGGCACTGATTCACGAGCACCCCTAAAGGCACTGATTCACCAGCACCCCTAAAGACACTGATTCACCAGCACCCCTACAGACACGGATTCACCAGCACCCCTAAAGACACTGATTCACCAGCACCCCTAAAGACACTGATTCACCAGCACCCCTAAAGAAACGGATTCACCAGCACCCCTAAAGTTCACCAGCACCCCTAAAGACACTGATTCACCAGCACCCCTAAAGACACTGATTCACCAGCACCCCTAAAGACACTGATTCACCAGCACCCCTAAAGACACTGATTCACCAGCACCCCTAAAGACACTGATTCACCAGCACCCCTAAAGACACTTTCACCAGCACCCCTAAAGACACTGATTCACCCCAAGAGACCCAATTTCCCTAGCAGTTACATGCATTGTTGTACTGGGTTCAAATCTGTATGTAAGATCATTTCTTAAGCTGTTAAAGTATTTCCATTCCAACTACAGATTTAGCAGTTTAAAATTTATAAATATATTTGACTTCACACTAAATTTTTTATTGGCTTCGTTTCTTTTAATTATAATAGTTCTTCACAACAGCACCTTGTCTCAAGCCAGAGCTTACTGTCTAATAGAACTGACCATGTCTGATATTACTGTGAAATCGTAGCCCACTACTATTATATTCTGCAGCTTGGCTGCCTGATTCAGAATATCCTTGGATTTGCCAGAAACCTTTGCACCTCTCCAAGCTGTTCACTAATGCTATCATTGCTTTAGTTTTTTATTTATACAATTATACACAGAACATATCGGCTGTCCAGTTTACTCTCACATCCTTGATATTTCTCAACACTAGGTTATCCCGACCATGATGGCTCCCGTTATCCCGACCATGACGGCTCCCGTTATCCTAACCATGACAGCTCACATGAAGGTTTAATAAATTTGAGACGTAACGGTCCAAGAGAATTCATCCGGTCTTTTGTTTTTGACATCTATGGCTAGCCATCAGGTGGTCAGTGATGTCCATTGTTGTCACCACCGCCACCAAGCAAAGACTCCTCTGCCTTTTGAGCTTCATTGGCCAACATCTGCCTCTCTCGCTCTCTTTCCTGATCAGCTTTCACAGTCACCGGGTCAGGTGCAGACCACCGCCTCTGCCGCAGCAAGGAGGTGGAATCCTCATCTTCATCCTCCGGCTCCTCTTCCTCCTTTACCTCACCCTCCCCTTGTCTGAGCGCTGACCCTCTCCTCCGAGAGCAGAGGCTGTTATTGTTACTTTCCTTTTTAACAGGAACTATGTTAGACTGAGGGGGCGGCAGCTCAGTCTGGGAAAGCCGTCTTTTGTTAGATGACGACCCAGATGAGTGATGTGGCGGCAGAAATTTTTTATCCACACTGTCCACTTTAAGAGATGACGAAACCATTGAGGAGGTACCGGAGGAAATGTTAGAGGACTGAGAGGTTAAGATCGATGAGGAGGCTGAGGTCGCCGACATGGGAATTGGGGCGGAGTGTGCAGCCGTTGGTCCGCTCTGGTCAGCGATATAACTCTGTTCCTGCTGCTGCTGCTGGCTGATCTCAGCTGCCTTCAGGTTGACATCCTTGTGTGTCAGAGAAATACAGACGTCACCAACATTCAGCTTCTGACAGTCAAGTCCGTAGCGGGCAAGTGTTCGGGTTACCGAACAGGATGACCAGCCCTGGCCAAACACAAAGAAAGGATGCTCCAGCGTTGCCTCCACAGTTACCTGCAAGATATAAAGAGGGAACAATTAACTGACAGCTGCCTACAAGATATAAAGAGGGAACAATTAACTGACAGCTGCCTACAAGATATAAAGAGGGAACAATTAACTGACAGCTGCCTACAAGATATAAAGAGGGAACAATTAACTGACAGCTGCCTACAAGATATAAAGAGGGAACCATTAACTGACAGCTGCCTACAAGATATAAAGAGGGAACAATTAACTGACAGCTGCCTACAAGATATAAAGAGGGCACCATTAACTGACAGCTGCCTACAAGATATAAAGAGGGAACCATTAACTGAGAGCTGCCTATAAGACAAAAAGGGATATCTTTGAGCCACATCTATGAGGTACAGAGATTTGCTGGAATATCCTCATCATTTCTTTATCCAAAATCTGACATTGTGAACATACCCTGCTGATTATCTTAATATCATCAACTTTCAAAGTTATTCAAGTCAATCTCACTTGGTGGGAACTTGGGGACATTGAACCACATTGAATTCATTGACAAAAGTTGAAATCAGAATCTTGAAAATACAACTTACTATCATTTTTGAATATGTGGATTATTATTTGAAAAGCAATTTTAATACCACTTGCTTGGGACAATGTCCAAAAGTTTGTGAAGACATGCATATGGAACTTGCAGAGATTGAGAATAACTGGGATGGAAATGTATGGACATCAAAGTTGAAGAGTTCTACAAGTTTCTATCTGAGAGAATGTCCAAAGCTGCTCTGTGAGCTCATGGCAATATAGTGGAGAGGGCTTATAATCACTATCATGGTTATGTTTACATATTTGTTCACTGTCAACCTCATTTGGTGATATAAATTTTGAGATCCCTGTGATAAGACTTTTATTTATAAAATTGAACATCAAAATCATTTTTTAAAAATATTTGTTGTGCTTATAAGGATGGCAAATTAAAAAAAAAAAATCAATAATTTAAATTGTATAAAAATAACCCCCACCTTTTCACCCCTCCTTCCTTTTGTACTCCACTGCTGACACCCCACTCACTCTCATTTTGTACTTCACTGCTGACACCCCACTCACTCTCATTTTGTACTTCACTGCTGACACCCCACTCACTCTCATTTTGTACTTCACTGCTGACATCCCACTCACTCTCATTTTGTACTTCACTGCTGACACCCCACTCACTCTCCATTTGTACTTCACTGCTGACACCCCACTCACTCTCATTTTGTACTTCACTGCTGACACCCCACTCACTCTCATTTTGTACTTCACTGCTGACACCCCACTCACTCTCATTTTGTACTTCACTGCTGACACCCCACTCACTCTCATTTTGTACTTCACTGCTGACACCCCACTCACTCTCATTTTGTACTTCACTGCTGACACCCCACTCACTCTCATTTTGTACTTCACTGCTGACACCCCACTCACTTTCATTTTGTACTTCACTGCTGACACCCCACTCACTCTCATTTTGTACTTCACTGCTGACACCCCACTCACTCTCCTTTTGTACTTCACTGCTGACACCCCACTCACTCTAATTTTGTACTTCACTGCCTACACCCCACTCACTCTTCTTTTGTACTTCACTGCTGACACCCCACTCACTCTCCTTTTGTACTTCACTGCTGACACCCCACTCACTCTCATTTTGTACTTCACTGCTGACACCCCACTCACTCTCCTTTTGTACTTCACTGCTGACACCCCACTCACTCTCCTTTTGTACTTCACTGCTGACACCCCACTCACTCTCCTTTTGTACTTCACTGCTGACACCCCACTCACTCTCCTTTTGTACTTCACTGCTGACACCCCACTCACTCTCCTTTTGTACTTCACTGCTGACACCCCACTCACTCTCCTTTTGTACTTCACTGCTGACACCCCACTCACTCTCCTTTTGTACTTCACTGCTGACACCCCACTCACTCTCCTTTTGTACTTCACTGCCTACACCCCACTCACTCTCCTTTTGTACTTCACTGCTGACACCCCACTCACTCTCCTTTTGTACTTCACTGCTGACACCCCACTCACTCTCCTTTTGTACTTCACTGCTGACACCCCACTCACTTTCATTTTGTACTTCACTGCTGACACCCCACTCACTCTCATTTTGTACTTCACTGCCTACACCCCACTCACTCTTCTTTTGTACTTCACTGCTGACACCCCACTCACTCTCCTTTTGTACTTCACTGCTGACACCCCACTCACTCTTCTTTTGTACTTCACTGCTGACACTCCACTCACTCTTCTTTTGTTATTTAATGCTAGAAACCTCTTCCCCGTCCCTCTATCTATTCTGACATTATACATATTTTGAAAGACAACATGATGTTGAGGACTTCTCTCCCTCAAACTAAGGACTGAAAGATTTGCCATCTCATCACATCAAAATTTAACTTTCCAGTCCTTTGGATGGGGCAAAATACTTATTAAGTATGTGTGCCAGGGAGACTGGTTTGACAACATTGGATAGGGCCTTCCATGAAGTAGGTCAAACTAATTTGATCTTTAGGGAGACTGGTTTGACAACATTGGATAGGGCCGTCCATGAAGTAGGTCAAACTAATTTGATCTTTAGGGAGACTGGTTTGACAACATTGGATAGGGCCGTCCATGAAGTAGGTCAAACTAATTTGATCTTTAGGGAGACTGGTTTGACAACATTGGATAGGGACGTCCATGAAGTAGGTCAAACTAATTTGATCTTTAGGGAGACTGGTTTGACAACATTGGATAGGGCCGTCCATGAAGTAGGTCAAACTAAACAAAACCCCTTCCCCCAGCCCAGTTCTTAAATTAAAAAAAATGTTTTAAAAACTAAATTTTAATCTACAACAAACTTCACTATTAAAATTATACTCTACTAAATGACATTTTCTGTCACAACATCCAGCACAACAGAAAGTTAAATTTCCCCATATGTCGCTTTCATGTGTGAAAATTATGTTAAACTTAAAATAGAATGTTGTCATTGTGTCATCAATTTAGCTGAAAATTTATAATGTATCAGGAATTTTTGTATTAAATAAATCATCTTATTCTTATGTTGTCTGACATTGTGACATGTTACCTGAACTCTGTGCTCTCCCACTGAAAAGCTGAGCATTGCAGTGCCCCTGTCCTGGTTCTCCTCTATTCTTACCACAGTGCTGGAGTCTACCTTGAGATCTGATGAAATCTCAGCACTGCTAACAAAATCATCAGTCTGCAGATCCTCCACGCGTTTCAGCGTCCCATCCGCAAGCTGAATGATCGAACCTTTCATAAAGTGCGATGGATACTGAAGGTGTGAGGATGGGTTCTCACAGGAAGGAGAACTCGGTGGAGATGACCAGGATGGTGAGGGCGTGTGGTGATAGGCTTGAGGTTTGTATCTGCTGTCATCACCGTGCTGGTATGGGGTGAGCGACTCACCCTGGTGTCCAGACACATTATCAGGATGGTGACCGCTGTTAGGCCCCCTACTCTCTACAGCCAGATTAGTGTTACTGTTTATGGGAGAGTGACGGGCAGCGGGATGGGATAATGTTTGGTGACGACCGGCACCGGGCCTCTGGCTGTCTCCATGTTGACCATACGACACGGGTGCCAAACTCATACTGCTCACCTTAGGTCGCTTGCTGGCGGGTTCATCTTTCAAACCATGAACACCGCTAACTTTAGACATATCGTCTGGCAACTCTGAATCAGAGGGTCTCGTTAAGATCCTGTGTTTCAAGCTGCCCTCTTTACCACTTAAAGATGTCCGGTAATACAAGTCTCCTCTACCTGAAGGTGAATCTCTGCCTCCGTATTCTTTCACAACATTATCAAACGAAACCTTGGGGACATGGCCAGAGGCACCGTAAGGGCTTGACGGTGAAAGACTGGATTTTTCCTCATGTATGCCTGACACGTCCCCGTACAATCTGAGGTCCATCGAAGCCTCAATGTCTCTCGCCTGGTGTCCTCCCTTTATGGAGGCCATTTTGTCTAAGTGGTGAGAGGATACTGCCGGCGTCGTCTGAGGACTACAGGTCTGGACCCCGGGACTGGGCGAGTTGCTGCCCGAAAGGCGACGACATGATGCAGAATACTGTGTCCCAGGAGCGACCAAGTGAGGGGTTGAGGGAAGGAATGGGCGCTGGGTGACAGGCCCACTTGGTGCGGCTGGCATTCTTGGCGATCTGTTGAAAGGAAATGATGAAAATACTGAAAACTATAATTAAAGAATGAATTCCTTAAATATGACATAATAATAATGAACCAATTAGTTATAAAATCTCTATACATTATAGAGCTGAGAAATAATCAAGAAAAATTTGTATTTTTTTCATTTATAATTGAGGTCCACAAAAGCATAAAGCCAATGGCAAGATTGACATCCCTCCACACACCTCCACTACAAGCTAAAGATAAAGGGAAAATCAACTATTTTATACACTCTTTTTTAAGGTTGCTTCGTCCATTTTTTAGTTTATGAGGTCAAATCTTGCCTCTCAATTCTGAAACAATTGATGGTATTGGTTTGAGCTGAAACTTTTGAGTCCCATGAAATGGAATAACTCTCAAGTTTTAGGGGACATTTATTGGATACTTCTTCTAAGCACATTTTCAGAAAGGGCTTTTTTTGTTCAAGAAGTAGTTTTTAAAAAATTTTTTATCTTGAATACCGGGTACATAATTTGACAAGGTGAAAAAGGATTCAATGGGCATCAAAAAGTTATATTTGTTCCTGACTTATTCTGATATCTGTAAAAAATTAGTCAATGGGGCCCAGGTATGACATCTTTGAAAACAAAAGCACTGTAACTTAGCGCAGATTTTGTCAAGAGCACTTATTCCTGTTGTCTTTCAAAATGGAACATTGTGCAGTAGGAAAATACTTTTTCCGAAATCAGAATTTTTATATATTATCTTTTTAGTTCAGATAATATGTCATATATAGATTTTAATATCAGCAGCCAAACTTCCTGACCGCCCCCTGGGTACTTCTTTGCCAATGTTAAGCTAGCAGTCTCTCATGCGTGCAGCGTTGTTTAGAAATAATTAGTTCATGTTTTAATGAAGTTTATATTTTTGTTTATGTACTAAATGGATTATAATCGATGGTCAAGAGATGCCCTTACAAATAAATAGTCTGATGGTGGTGCAATTGTTGATGGTGGGGCCGGAGGTTGGTGCAGTTCCATCCTTCAGTTTATCTATACAACAATTCATTCCTTCAGTTTATCTATACAATTCATTCCTTCAGTTTATCTTTACAACAATTCATTCCTTCAGTGTATCTATACAACAATTCGTTCCTTCAGTTTATCTATACAACAATTCATTCCTTCAGTTTATCTATACAACAATTCATTCCTTCAGTTTATCTATACAACACTTCATTCCTTCAGTTTATCTATACAACAATTCATTCCTTCTGTTTATCTATACAACACTTCATTCCTTCAGTTTATCTATACAACAATTCGTTCCTTCAGTTTATCTATACAACAATTAATTCCTTCAGTTTATCTATACAACAATTCATTCCTTCAGTTTATCTATACAACACTTCATTCCTTCAGTTTATCTATACAACACTTCATTCCTTCAGTTTATCTATACAACAATTCATTCCTTCTGTTTATCTATACAACACTTCATTCCTTCAGTTTATCTATACAACAATTCATTCCTTCAGTTTATCTATACAACAATTCATTCCTGTCATGTTACTCTTTGTTCAAATGAGGCTAAACTTGACAATATGGATCTGTATGGCATCCTTCCATCGACAAGATAGAGCAGCTGTGGACACTTCATCAAATGGCTTACGAAGCGAATCCTGGAATGGCATTCTCGACCCATTCACAGTGAATCATTGCCAGTCTATTCAGTCTTTCATCGAGTCCATTCACAGTCCCTCATTGACAGTCCATTCACAGTGCCTCATTGACAGTGCAATCACAGTCCCTCATTGACAGTCCATTCACAGTGCCTCATTGACAGTGCATTGACAGTCCATTTACACTCCTTTAGTGTCATGCCTTTATTGACAGTCCATTCACACTCCTTCATTGTTACACCTTCATTGACAACCCATTCACACTCCTTTAGTGTCATGCCTTTATTGACAGTCCATTCACACTCCTTCATTGTCACACCTTCATTGACAGTCCATTCACACTCCTTCAGTGCCATGCCTTCATTGACAGACCATTTACAGTCCCTCATTGACAGTCTAGATCACAGTCCCACATTGACAGTCCATTCACAGTCCTTCATTGACTGTCTATTCACAGTCCATCATTGACTGTCTATTCACAGTCCATCATTGACTGTCCATTCAAAGTCCCTCATTGACAGCTCATTCACAGTCCCTCATTGACATAACATTCAGTCTTTCATTGACAGTACATTCAGTCCTTCATTGACCGTCCATTCACAGTCTATCACTGACAGTAGATTCAGTCCTTCATTGACAATCCATTCACAGTCCATCACTGACAGTACATTCAGTCCTTCATTGACAGAACATTCACAGTCCATCACTGACAGTACATTCAGTCCTTCACTGACAGTACATTCACAGTCCATCACTGACAGTACATTCAGTCCTTCATTGACAGTACATTCAGTCCTTCATTGACAGTCCATTCACAGTCCATCACTGACAGTACATTCAGTCCTTCATTGACCATCCATTCACAGTCCATCACTGACAGTACATTCAGTCATTCATTGACCGTCCATTCACAGTCCATCACTGACAGTACATTCAGTCCTTCATTGACAGTATATTCAGTCCTTCATTGACAGTCCATTCACAGTCCATCACTGACAGTACATTCAGTCCTCCATTGACAGTAAATTCAGTCCTTCATTGACAGTACATTCAGTCTTCCATTGACAGTACATTCAGTCCTTCATTGACCGTCCATTCACAGTCCATCACTGACAGTACATTCAGTCTTTCATTGACAGTACATTCACAGTCCATCACTGACAGTACATTCAGTCCTTCATTGACCGTCCATTCACAGTCCATCACTGACAGTACATTCAGTCTTTCATTGACAGTACATTCACAGTCCATCATTGACAGTACATTCACAGTCCATCATTGACAGTACATTCCTAGTCCACCATTGACAGCACATTCACAGTCCATCATTGACAGTACATTCACAGTCCATCATTGACAGTACATTCACAGTCCATCATTGACAGCACATTCCCAGTCCATCATTGACAGTACATTCACAGTCCATCATTGACAGCACATTCACAGTCCATCATTGACAGTACATTCACAGTCCATCATTGACAGTACATTCACAGTCCATCATTGACAGTACATTGACAGTCCATCATTGACAGTCCATTCACAGTCCATCATTGACAGTCCATTCACAGTCCATCATTGACAGTCCATTCACAGTCCATCATTGACAGTCCATTCACAGTCCATCATTGACAGTCCATTCACAGTCCATCATTGACAGTCCATCATTGACAGTACATTCACAGTCCATCATTGACAGCACATTCACAGTCCATCATTGACAGTCCAATCAGGAGGGGTGCACTTACTGACTCCAGCACTCATCGCGAGCCCCTTTATTTGAAGTTATTTTTTTAAACTGAACAGCAGAAGTGTGCTGTCAAGATAATCTAAATGAATAAAAAAATAATGACAACATTGTCATAAAAACTGTCACAGTAACAGGCTGGAATCAAACCAAAGCATTTCTAAAAAAAAAAAAAAACTTGATTAAATAGAACAGCTGATTTAGACATTTCATCAATTTGAGGTAGCCAACCTGAATCCTATATCAAAATTAGTCTTTTATACAAAAATTCATTAATTGACAACTAGTTTGAGTTGATAAATCCAGCCACCCACCTGTCTGCTCCTTGCACGCCCCGATGTTGCACTTGACTGCCCATGCTGGCCAGCATGGCAGAATAAGACTCAATGACGGGATAATGGCTTTGTGGGGCGGCTGTCATGAGAGAACCATGTGAGAACACGTGACTGGACGTCCCGGAGCCCCCGAAGGCTGGGAAAAACGTGGAATAGGGTTGCATGTTCGTGAGGTGAGCCGGCGCCTGGCCGTGCATACCGTAGATGGTGGAGTACTGGGCAGCGGTGTAGCCCGACACATTAGAACCTGAGAGCCGGTGTGGAGGTGACGAGTTGTCCGCCCCTGTCCTGAAAATGGCCGAGGAGGGCACCGCCGGCTGCCCAGCAGATAACATGGTGCTTTGGCTGGAAGCTGCGGCAGACGATGTAGGGGTGCCGTTGGGGCTTTGGCGCTGCTGCTGTTGGTGATTACTGTGACCTTGACCTGACCCTGCTCCTCCGATTCGCCCACTGTGCATGCCCCCTGACAACCTTTCGCTGGCTGAACTCACTTCCTGCAACTGCCGCTCCCCTGATTGCACAGGTGGAGAGAGGTGTGAAGTGCCGTTGGTGCTGCCTCTCTGGTAGTCTGCACCCTCCTTCTCTATAACTGGTCCATTATAAACAGCAGAACTTCTAGCATCAAGCCTGATCCCACTACTCAACTGATAGGTGTCAGGTTTAGCTACATAGGAATGACTCTGTTTAGTGCCCCAATTGTCTGTACTAATCACCGAGGCCTTATCGCTAACAGCCTTAGGGGCGGGATTCGAGCCCTCGGCTACAAAGTCATGACCGTGCACGCTGACCAACTGGTTGATATTGGCTAAAGTGGCAGTGCCGGCATCACCAGAGTCTGTGTAGTTGAAGATCAAGATACCGCCTTCGGCACTCCCGCTGTCAAACACGGCTGCAGGAAGTTTGCTGTTGTGGGGCAGACTGATGCTTATGCTCTTGCCGTCAACATTGTTGTTGTTGAGGCTGTTTGCAATGAGATTTGCGGGGAATGCTGATGTGTTGTTGTTGCTGCCAGAGACGTTGTTGCTGTTGCCAGAGACGTTGTTGCTGTTGCCAGTGACGACGCCGGTGCTCAACAAGTTGCTACATTTATAGCTGCCATTGAGATTGTTGCTGTTCACAAATACACTAGCATTACTGCTGGCGATCAAGTTGTTCAAGGTGCTATTAGCTTTCGATATGGACACCAGGTGATGCTGCAGCTGTTGCTGCTGCTGCTGTAGCTGTTGCTGCTGTACCAAGGTATTTAGCAGAATATTTGTAGCACCGGATGTAATGCTTCTGCTGCTGCTGCCGTTTTGTTGAAGTTGAGGGTCTGCAATGATAATTGTATATTGGACAGGCTGACTGTTGGCTCCTCCATTGACAGACACTTGGCCACGCCTATTGGTCCCACCCCCCTCAACTGTGATTGGTTGACTGGGAGGGGACGAACTTGGAAGAACTTCAGTGCAGTATAAGGACTGTCCATCCAAACCTATGGATACAAAACAACAAAAAAGTCAATGAAGTCTCTTGCAAGTTCATACAATGACAAGCACTTAGTGCAGGGCTGCACAACTCAAAATGTAAGGCGGGCCGTAATCAAGGTTTGCTGGTTCGTGTGCAAAATCATAAAGTTGTGTACACATTTTTACAGCATCAATTTTTTGTGCGCAAAATTTTACAGCCTTCAGTCACAAACACACACTTAAGTGGAAATTAGCTGCGCGGCGTCTGTGAGCTTAAAGTGAACATTGGCCATAAAGCATTATGAAAAACGTGTGCGGGCCAAAGGAAAATAGGACAGGACTTGTGCGGGCCAAAAAAATATAGGTCAAGGGGAAAGTCATGAAGAAAATAGTAAGAATAACGAGTTTATCGATACCTCGCGGGCCATAAAGTGGGTGCTGGCGGGCCACATGCGGCCTGCGGGCCGTATGTTGTGCAGACCTGACTTAGTGGATTACCGTATCTGATGCACATGTCCAAATATCAAATATATGTGTGATAATCGATTGAATAATCAGTGCCATTCTTCATGAGTGAAACTATAGTAGACAGTTCCACATGGCTGTCCTGCATGGCTTGCCTGACATTTACACTGCCTACAACATCATACCAGACATTTATCTGATATCATCATTAAACCAAACGTATATTTGTGATACAAGTGATTCTGCTTCATGTCACATTGTAAGATCAGCACGCAGACATGTCACATTGTAATATAAGCACGCAGACATGTCACATTGTAAGATATCCACGCAGCCATGTCACATTGTACGATCAGCACGCAGACATGTCACATTGTAAGATCAGCACGCGACATGTCACATTGTAAGATCAGCACGCGGACATGTCACATTGTAAGATCAGCACGCAGACATGTCACATTGTACGATCAGCACGCAGACATGTCACATTGTAAGATCAGCACGCGGACATGTCACATTGTAAGATCAGCACGCGGACATGTCCCATTGTAAGATCAGCACGCAGACATGTCACATTGTAAGATAAGCACGCAGACATGTCACATAGTAAGATCAGCACGCAGACATGTCACATTGTACGATCAGCACGCAGACATGTCACATTGTAAGATCAGCACGCAGACATGTCACATTGTAAGATCAGCACGCAGACATGTCACATTGCAAGATAAGCACGCAGCCATGTCACATTGTAAGATCAGCACGCAGACATGTCACATTTTAAGATCAGCACGCGGACATGTCACATTATAAGATCAGGACGCAGACATGTCACAGCAGACATGTCACATTGTCCCTGACAGGACGGTCTTCATAATCAAAGTAGTTTTCGATGGGGTTGCACCCATACAAACGTTGCGGATCGCTGGAAAGTCCTAAGATTCCCCAGTGGCAACCATACGACTCTCTAGCCTAATGTCAACCCTAAGATCCCCTAATTTCAACCCTAAGATTAAGATCCCCTAATGTTAACTGTAAGATCCATGATGTCAATACTAAGATCCCGTTGCCTAATGTCAATACTAAGATCCCGTTGCCTAATGTCAACCCTAAGATCCCCATAGCTTAATGTCAACCCTAAGATCCCCTTGCCTAATGTCAACCCTAAGATCCCCTTGTCTAATGTCAACCCTAAAAGATCCCCTTGGCTAATGTCAACGCTAAGATCCCCTTGCCTAATGTCAACGCTAAGATCCCCTTGCCTAATGTCAACGCTAAGATCCCCTTGCCTAATGTCAACCCTAAGATCCCCTTGCCTAATGTCAACCCTAAGATCCCCTTTCCTAATGTCAACCCTAAGATCCCCTTTCCTAATGTCAACCCTAAAATCCCCTTGCCTAATGTCAACCCTAAGATCCCATGGTTACAACCCTAATGTCAACCCTAAACCTTGAACTCCAGTGACCGCACTCCCTGACAAGAACCTTGCCAACCGACACCAAAGCATGAACAAGACGCTCTATTATCTGATCAAGTTTCACACCATGCAGTTTTTGTTGTTCTGTACAGATCACCATCGCGGGAGACATTTATTTCGTTAGATAAATAACAAAAATACTCTCTTCTCCCCCTCTATAAATAGATTTGTGTTGTTACGTTCGCGCGCGATCAAGATGAGCCTTTCTTTTCGTTTAAAAAAAAGGGGGTTGGTTGGTTGGGGGGGGGGGAATTTAGCCAATCGAGAGTGTTATTATCTTAGTGAATGAGGTGAACAGCTCCTACGTCATAGACGCCACAAATACTCGCTCCGATTACGGCGGCGCCATTATTAGCGGAGCTTTCATTGATCGGCCGGCTATTTCTGACCACTGGGATCGGCTGGCCTTGGGGGGGGGGGGTCTCCTAGGTGCACACGTCATGCCAGAGCGATGACATAGGGCACGGAGGTAAGCGGAAAGGGGCGATGGGGGGATGCTACGAGCGTGGAGCTTTCATTGATCGGCCGGCTATTTCTGACCACTGGGATCGGCTGGCCTTGGGGGGGGGGGTCTCCTAGGTGCACACGTCATGCCAGAGCGATGACATAGGGCACGGAGGTAAGCGGAAAGGGGCGATGGGGGGATGCTACGAGCGTCAACGACACTACGTCATATGTTCCAGTTTAAGACACGGTTATCTCATCGTATCCGGCCAATGGAGTGTTGACATCAACAATACATTCTAAGACTTGGTGCTGGGACACATAGGTCACATTTGATGGAAACGTTGGGATGGCCAAATAGGATAGGTCACATTTGATGGGAATGTTGTGATGGCCAAATAGGATAGTTCACATTTGATGGAAATGTTGTGATAGCCGAATAGGATAGGTCACATTTGATGGGATAGAGATATAGCATTAAAAAGAGATAATGTATGTGTTGAAAAGAGATGTTTGTGTTGAAAAGAGATAATGTATGTGTTGAAAAGAGATAATGTATGTGTTGAAAAGAGATAATGTAGGTGTTGAAAAGAGATAATGTAGGTGTGTTGAAAAGAGATAATGTAGGTGTTGAAAAGAGATAATGTATGTGTTGAAAAGAGATAATGTATGTGTTGAAAAGACATAATGTATGTGTTGAAAAGAGATAATGTATGTGTTGAAAAGAGATAATGTAGGTGTTGAAAAGAGATAATGTAGGTGTTGAAAAGAGATAATGTATGTGTTGAAAAGAGATAATGTATGTGTTGAAAAGAGATAATGTATGTGTTGAAAAGAGATAATGTATGTGTTGAAAAGAGATAATGTATGTGTTGAAAAGAGATAATGTAGGTGTTGAAAAGAGATAATGTAGGTGTTGAAAAGAGATAATGTATGTGTTGAAAAGAGATAATGTATGGTGAAATAGATAATGTTTGTGTGGAAAAGAGATAATGTATGTGTTGAAAAGAGATAATGTATGGTGAAATAGATTATGTTTGTGTTGAAAAGAGATAATGTATGTGTTGAAAAGAGATAATGTATGGTGAAATAGATAATGTTTGTGTTGAAAAGAGATGATATAGACGTTGAAAAGAGATGATGTAGTCCGCAGCTGTAATTTTGTTTGAAGGAAACTTGTTCGAAATTAAATTACTCAAAAATACAGTGGAACCTCTCATAACGAGTTTAATTCGTTCCAGACTCTTACTCGTTAAGCGAAACACTCGTTAAACGAAACAATTTTTCCCATACAAATCAATGTAAAATACGATCATGCGTTCCATGCTGAAAAAATACGAATTTTTCACACAAAAAATTATGACCATTTCTTCCAATCAAATGACTTATGAATTGTTAAGGAGTGGAACAACTTGGAATACACTTTAGATCTGAAACAAAAAACGTAAGTAAATATATGAATTTATGACCAACTAATTCATCCTTGTTAACTAGAGAACTGTCGAAAGACATTGGTTTTTGCCGACGCTTCCAAATGTGACGAAAATGTGTCACAGCATTATCATGGAATAAATGTGTAGCACGACTAGCCACGCTCACATCTTGTTCTCGCTTTTCAGTGATCGTACGTTTCATTTCAACAGTTATTTTTTCTCTTTTAGGATTGTCTTCTTGTGGTTTTTTTTTTCGAAGACATTTTAGCACAGGTTATTACACTTTGCACATAAAAACATTACGAATGCTGTCTGAATACAAAATTCGTAGAAACTGGTGATCACACACTAAAACAAGACACTAACAGACCGAGTGCTAAACACAGACTAATGCAATGGTTCTCAACCTTCCTAGTGCCGCGACCCTTTAATACAGTTTCTCGTGTCTTGGTGATCCCCCCCCCCCAGCAGCCTAATTATTTTCGTTGCTACTTCCTAGCTGTAAGAATATGTGTTTTCAGACAGTCTAAGGCGACCCTTGGGAAAGGGCCGCGCTACCCCCAAAGGGGTCACGACCCACAGATTGAGCACCGCTGGACTAATGCCTCGGCGCGGAAGCCCCGGCTCACACAGGAATGTCAGGACAATGAGAGAGAGAGAGGTGCTGGTTATGAGGGGCTCCACAGTAGATTGATTGATTCGTTTGAAACATGGAGTTTTGCACACCTGACAAAGCATGTATTTAGATCAATTCAATTAGCCCCCCCCCACCCTTTGATACCACCCTTTCTTGCATTTACACTATCAAATGTCAATGTCAATGGTAGACACCACGCCATCCACCCTAACAAAAGAAGAATGAGTCCATACATAAAAGGAGATGAACAAAACATGCAATCCTAGAACTAATAGCTGCCCCTATCAGAAAGAGACTTTAGTTAGTTTTCAGTCTGCGCTTGAAGAGCTAGCACCACCAATAATATCGTAAACACCCACCTAGTGAACACAAACGTTTTTTGTTTTTCGTTAAGTTTTGGCTCCCGCCCGCATCTTATTGATTTCTTGAGTTGATAGTTGTCTTCCCCTGCTGATGTTTCCAAACAAAGCCAAGCACGTCATCAGAAAGACGTGGGTGGCCCAGACTGGGAGACAATTGTGACCCTGATTTCAGTTAATCTATCTTTGATGTCATACGGGGGACCTGTTGGCGTCACGCGTCTATTACGGGCCGGTGTATCCAGCAAACAACCGTATGTGAAGAGCTCGTTCTGTTGCTGAGTCAAGTGTTGTTGGGATGCGATGGAGGGAGTACTCCTATCAATTACATATATTGTCTTAAACAGACGACCGTACTGATAGAACAGATTTGTACTCATCAAATCAAACGTCCTATCTCTATGAAACGACCTATCACAATAGAACGTCCAAGGACATGAAAAGTCCTATCTATGAAATGACTTATCAAAAAAGTCCTATGGACATGAAAAGTCCTATCTATATAAAATTATCTATTAAAATAGTCCTATGGACATAAAAATTCCTATCTATAGGGGTGGGAGCACAGGTTTAGAACCACAACTGTAGGGGTGGGAGCACAGGTTTAGAACCACAACTGTAGGGGTGGGAGCACAGGTTTAGAACCACAACTGTAGGGGTGGGAGCACAGGTTTAGAACCACAACTGTAGGGGTGGGAGCACAGGTTTAGAACCACAACTGTAGGGGTGGGAGCACAGGTTTAGAACCACAACTGTAGGGGTGGGAGCATAGCTACAGAGATGGGAATCAAACCGAACACACGGAACTCAAACCCTGCTGACGACCGAACACGAAACGAACTTCAACGTCACCGAGTACGAACCGCTAATGTTTGACGAATGTGGCACATCATTGCACCAGAGAGACTTATAGTTGAGCTCAAACCCAACTGCAAAACGAAAACAAATTATTTGTAAACCAAAGTGATCTTTTTTTAATTATAAAAATATCTCTCCCCCCCCCCCCCCCCAATTCTTTCACGCACATGGCTAGATTTGTATGAATGCGTGACAAATTCAACAACAACACAATGTCGTCGACTCTTTTTTGATCCAGTGGCAGAAACTTGTGTCGCAAACAGAATGAGAAGTGTGTATCACCCTAAAATCTAATACGGCACATTGCTTAAGAGAAGTATCGGCGACTGATGCGCCATTTGGTATCGTCTTTTCGATTAGCATAACATATGAAAATACACCCAATACAAATGTGTGTTTCCCCGTTGTTTTCATTACGCCTCTCTTAGTTACATCAATCCAGGTGAACTATTATTGCTACAGAAGAATGTATTTTCCTCTTTTCCAGTGCGTCACCGTATTTCTAACTGAACCGCTTATGTTTAGAAACATTAAATTATTTTTTATTTTATTTCAATTAAAATCCAAACCAATAAAATTCAAATTGCGATCATTACTGAACGCACCGAGCTCCAGTGGTTGACTAACAATGTGTAGTTGTTACTGAAACGACCCTGACTTGGTTATGGTAAGCTAAATACATATGGTTAACGGAAATTTGATGGAAAGAAATTTCGTCGACGGTAAATTGATCGACGGAAATTTGATCGAACGGAAATTTGGTCAAATCTTTTTTTCAGTTCACACTTTAAAATTTTCGTCAAATTTCTTTTTGAACGCACTCTACTCTATAGTCTAACAAAATACTGCAATCAAAAGGACATTTGAAGCAAAACTTTAACGAAAAAACTGAAGAAAAAAAAAAAGATACCACCAAATTTCCGTTCGATCAAATTACCGTCGACGAAATTTCTTTCTATCATTTTTCTGGATGCGATATACATATATGCCGTATGTTTCAAGACTAACTGACTTGGATATAATGCATCTCTTTAAAAAATATATTTCCTACTAACACAAAAACGGAACCCGACTCTTACAGATGAACAATATGTCCTTTTGCTGACCCGAGCATAGGCTGGATACACATATATACAGTAATATGTTACATGCCTGACCATAGCATAGGTTAGCTGCACACATACACAATGTTACCTGGCTGACCTGAGCAAAGGTTAACTACACACATACACAATATGTTACCTGGCTGACCTGAGCATAAGTTAGCTACACACATACACAATATGTTACCTGGCTGACCTGAGCATAGGTTAGCTACACACATACACAATATGTTACCTGGCTGACCTGAGCATAAGTTAGCTACACACACACACACAATATGTTAACGAGCTGACCTGAGCATAGGTTAACTACACACATACACAATATGTTACCTGGCTGACCTGAGCATAGGTTAGCTACACACATACACAATATGTTACCTGGCTGACCTGAGCATAGGTTAGCTACACACATACACAATATCTTACCTGGCTGACCTGAGCATAGGTTAGGTTAACTACACACATACACAATATGTTACCTGGCTGACCTGAGCATAGGTTAGCTACACACATACACAATATGTTCCTCGCTGACCTGAGCATAGGTTAACTACACACATACACAATATGCTCCTGGCTGACCTGAGCATAAGTTAACTACACACACACACACAATATGTTACCTGGCTGACCTGAGCATAGGTTAACTACACACATACACAATATGTTACCTGGCTGACCTGAGCATAGGTTAGCTACACACATACACAATATCTTACCTGGCTGACCTGAGCATAGGTTAGGTTAACTACACACATACACAATATGTTACCTGGCTGACCTGAGCATAGGTTAGCTACACACATACACAATATGTTCCTCGCTGACCTGAGCATAGGTTAACTACACACATACACAATATGCTCCTGGCTGACCTGAGCATAAGTTAACTACACACATACACAATATGTTACCTGGCTGACCTGAGCATAGGTTAGCTACACACTTACACAATATGTTACCTGGCTGACCTGAGCATAGGTTACCTACACACATATGTTTACATCTTGACTTGGTAATGTTTCACACTGTAACACACATATATTTCGAACTTGACTCCGTAATGTCTAGCCACACACACATCAACACATATGTTCTGTTCATATGTTCAATATCTGCCACGAGCACGGCCTACCAGCCTGTAGATAAGAGCCGCTCCAATTCAATGGTCACTGTGTTGGACGGACGGCGATAAGGGAGAATGTGTTGGTGAGTTGTGGACGCCATTAGTTTCCCATCACACTTGAAATGACGGCGACGTGCGTCCCAGACACATGGTGTGTAGCAAGCACACCGCCACGATCATCAGCATTAAAGATGAACACAATCTACGTCAGATGGTCACGTGACACACCAGTGAGTTAAAATCCGGGTTAACAACTTTTCGCGAATCAGTCGTCTTTTTTTTTTTTTTCCCTCGACGTTACTCGCGCGCACTGAGACCTAGGTCACGCTGACCTCAGGGCAACTAAAATGTGGGAAGCACTCAAGCTTTGTGTGGCCGAACGGTTGGTGAATGTGCCACAAGGGGAGTGACGCAAGGACTTCAGTACATTGAGTGGATTGGCTCACGAGTATGCTGGTGTAGCCGTCGCCATTCGGCCTTCACTGACTCAAGGGATTTAGTCAAACCAACAATTGGGAGTGTCGCCATTCGGCCTTCACTGACTCAAGGGATTTAGTCAAACCAACAATTGGGAGTGTCGCCATTCGGCCTTCACTGACTCAAGGGATTTAGTCAAACCAACAATTGGGAGTGTCGCCATTCGGCCTTCAATGGCTCAAGGGATTTAGTCAAACCAACAATTGGGAGTGTCGCCATTCGGCCTTCACTGACTCAAGGGATTTAGTCAAACCAACAATTGGGAGTGTCACCATTCGGCCTTCAATGGCTCAAGGGATTTAGTTAAACCAAGTATTGGAGTGTCTTCATTCGGCCTTCGTTGATTCTGGGGATTTGGTTAAACCAACAATTGGGAGTGTCGTCATTCGGCCTTCACTGACTCAAGGGATTTAGTCAAACTAACAATTGGAGTCTTCATTCGGCCTTCGTAGAATCAAGGGATTTGGTCTATTGGAGTGGTGTCAGCCGGCCTTCACTGATTTAAGGAATTCATTCAAATCAAGAATAGGAGTGATGATAAGGAGTAAGTCACACATGTTTCCAGCATTATTTATTTATCATACGCATTTGTCAAGTGGTGGTCAGATGTCTCTATGATAGTGGTCAGTTATGTCTCTTTGGGACTCGTCAGCTACGTCTCTATGACAGTGGTAATTATTATGAAAAGTTCGGGTCTTGTAACTACTATTACCTTATTATCCAGTGCTTCTCAAATTACGTGAGCCGGAACCAAATCCCCCCCCCGATCGGAAGAGAATAAAGATTCTATAAGTGTGAAACGTTCAATACTGTCAAGTGATTTAAGTTATGCATGACCCAGGCAACGATGACACTGAGAAGCACCCAGCGAATCGGTTTAATGCTTTACAACAAGTTTCAAGTACGACTCAATAATGGCTGTGGCACAGAAAGTGTTGTCCAACGACGGACGGTTCTGAAAGTTCTGACAAGGTTTGTGATGGCCACCAGAACACGACATACAACACAGGACTCCAGTCCAGCTCCTCCAGAACACGACATACAACACAGGACTCCGGTCCAGCTCCTCCAGAACACGACATACAACACAGGACTCCGGTCCAGCTCCTCCAGAACACGACATACAACACAGGACTCCGGTCCAGCTCCCCCAGAACACGACATACAACACAGGACTCCGGTCCAGCTCCACTTCACGCAGGAGTGGTTACGACAGAGCGTGTGTACCAGAAAAGACAAGGTGTGACCAAATATTGGTTGTGTCATAGCAGTGTGTGAACACCGCGTTCCTGGCTATGTGGGGCTATATTTAGTCTGCTATGTGGGATCACCACCACAGATCAGATGTAAGAAAGGTCGGCGGAACTAATCACGGCTGAAGGAGCAGTGCTGGAGTGCAACTATCATCATGTGCATACTACGATAGTTGTAAGTGTGTACGACATGTGTTCTGTAGGGCAGTTGTAAGTGTGTACGACATGTGTTCTGTAGGGCAGTTGTAAGTGTGTACGACATGTGTTCTGTAGGGCAGTTGTACGTGTGTACGACATGTGTTCTGTAGGGCAGTTGTAAGTGTGTACGACATGTGTTCTGTAGGGCAGTTGTAAGTGTGTACGACATGTGTTCTGTAGGGCAGTTGTAAGTGTACACGTGTGTTCTGTAGGGTAGTTGTAAGTGTGCACGTGTGTTCTGTAGGGCAGATGTAAGTGTGCACGTGTGTTCTGTAGGGCAGATGTAAGTGTACACGTGTGTTCTGTAGGGCAGTTGTAAGTGTACACGTTTGTTCTGAAGGGCAGTTGTAAGTGTGCACGTGTGTTCTGTAGGGCAGTTGTAAGTGTACACGTGTGTTCTGTAGGGCAGATGTAAGTGTGCACGTGTGTTCTGTAGGGCAGTTGTAAGTGTGCACGTGTGTTCTGTAGGGCAGTTGTAAGTGTGCACGTGTGTTCTGTAGGGCAGTTGTAAGTGTACACGAGTGTTCTGTAGGGCAGTTGTAAGTGTACACGTGTGTTCTGTAGGGCAGTTGTAAGTGTGCACGTGTGTTCTGTAGGGCAGTTGTAAGTGTGCACGTGTGTACTGTAGGGTAGATGTAAGTGCACGTGTGTACTGTAGGGTAGATGTAAGTGTGCACGTGTGTACTGTAGGGTAGATGTAAGTGCACGTGTGTACTGTAGGGCAGATGTAAGTGTACACGTGTGTACTGTAGGGCAGTTGTAAGTGTACACGTGTGTACTGTAGGGCAGTTGTAAGTGTGCACGTGTGTACTGTAGGGCAGTTGTAAGTGTGCACGTGTGTACTGTAGGGTAGATGTAAGTGCACGTGTGTACTGTAGGGTGGATGTAAGTGTACACATAGTATTGTAGGACAGATGCAATAGCGAAAACAATTACGAGGAAGGTGTTTAACGTGGTATGTAATATGTGTATAATATTGTATGTAACGTGTATAATATGTTTTGTAACATGTGTATAATATGGTATGCAACATGTGTAAAATATGGTATTTAATATGTGTAAATATGGTATTTAATATGTGCATAATATGGTATGTAGTATGGTATGTAACGTGTATAATATGGTATGTAATATGTGTATAATATGGTATGTAATAAGTGTATTATAGGGTATGTAATATGTGTATAATATGGTATGTAGCATATGTATAATATGGTATGTAATATGTGTATAATAGGGTATGTAATATGTGTATAATATGGTATGTGATGTGTATACTATAATATGTAATATGTGTATACTATGGTATGTAACATGTGTATAATATGGTATGTAATATGTGTATAATATGGTATGTAATATGTGTATAACGTGGTATGTGATATGTGTATAATATGGTATGTAATATGTGTATAACGTGGTATGTGATATGTGTATTATATTGTATGTAAGATTACTTGAAAAGGGGAGTGTATTACATGGTATATAAGATTTTTTGAAAATAAGGGAGTATAATATATACAAGGTAAGATTGCCTGACAAATGTTTATAAAATGGTATATAAGAGGGACTGAAAATGCAGGTGTTTTTCATGGTATGCAAGATTACCTGTCAATGGAAGTGTATAACCTGATAAGTAAGATAGCCTGACAATGAAGGTGTATAACATATTGCGTAAGATTACATGACAATGAGGTGTTTTACACGGTATGTATTATTACTTGACAAAGGTACATTACATAATGTGTGTAACATGATATGTAAGATTACCTGACGATGAACATATTTTACGTGGTATGCAAAATTACCAGACACGGTGTATGACATGATATGTAAGATTAACTGACAATGAACATATTTTACGTGGTATGCAAAATTACCAGACACGGTGTATGACATGATATTGATATGTAAGATTAACTGACAAATGAAGTTGTTTTACGCTGTTGTAGCCACATATCAATGAAAATTACGAATATCCCAGACTGTCACATAATGTTATAGAGTATCACACTATCAGAGAGTGAATCCTTAAAAGACGGTCCTATAATGTTAGAGTATCACACTATAAGACAGTGAATCCCTATAAGACGGTCCTATAATGTTAGAGTATCACACTATAAGACAGTGAATCCCTATAAGACGGTGCTATAATGTTAGAGTATCACACTATAAGACAGTGAATCCCTATAAGACGGTCCTATAATGTTAGAGTATCACACTATAAGACAGTGAATCCCTATAAGACGGTCATATAATGTTAGAGTATCACACTATAAGACAGTGAATCCCTATAAGACTGTCCTATAAGACTGTGATTAACCCCAACCCCTGATGACCCCAAAGTCTAAGGTCCCGACACCCCCACGAGTCGCCATGCTTCACGCAGCTTGAAAAGGGCTCCGATCAGTGGATTGCAACTGCTCGCCTCCCTTAGTTACGTCTAGGTGAGGCAGGACTCGACCCCCAGTACCTGGTAGCCTTGAACACAAACACGTGCACAAGTTGAAACAACTTTAACACCCAACTTATCAACGGCCGTTCCCAATCAACACGATAGAGCTTTAGATCAACAGTAAACTTGATTGCAGCTCTATTCAAAGTTTAGCACGGAAAGAAACAGAACGAGTGAAAAAAGACCCAAAAGTTCTTCGTTCCTACCTGAGCATCCAAGAATACAAGTCCACGACCTGTCTCTTGCGGTCCAGTGTGTGGCTCTTGACTGGAGAACGAGAGACTTGTCTAATACCTTCTTCACACGGGACTCCCGAATCACGTCATACGCCAGCAAATGTACGGCGGGGAGAAACCACGAGCACGTTACATGACAAATCATTGGCGGTCTCGCGGCCTACAGGTCTACTCACTCACGAGAACCGAGCCAAAACCCTCACACTCTTCGCGGTTGTCGGAGCGTGAGTAGAAAAAGGAAATGGGGGGGGGGGCGGGGGTGAGGCGGGGGGAGAGGGGGGGGGCGGTTGTGCGCGCATTCCTTTCCGGGAATCAGATGAGAGAGTGAATGGGGGGATTCCCCC